TATTTTGTGGAATTATATGTAAAAAAATTAATTTCAGGTACTAAATATGCATATCTATTAAGTTTAGGTACCAAACTGTAATTTGCATTTGGGCATGGGTACAAACCCAAATCCATTTGTTATAAACCCAACCCAACTCAAATAAATGGGTATGGGTACAAACCCATCAAATTCTAGCCATATCCATCTATTTGGATTTCATACACAACCCAATTGGGTTGGATAGTAAAAAACCCATGGGTATGGGCAAAATTACCATCGCTAAACATGAACGTTTTTAGTAATTTCAGTGACCAACCTTGCAATTAACCCAACAACAAACTATTGAAATTTCTAAAGAACCAAACCAATCATAAATCCTTGATTTTTAAAAATCTTCATTTTAATCAAAATCTTCAACTTTCAAATCCAACGAGAGACTAAGAATTATAATAAATTTTAAAATGACTGAAAAAATGATGGACTTAAAACTAGATCAAATTTAAGCAAACAGACCAAATACAAATATACAAGGGTTAAGTCAATTGCCACTATCCTTCTCAATATTTTATATGTTAATTGAATACTTATATCTAAAATCGATTATCTTTCAGCAGCCAGGAAGAAGAAGGCCTCATTGTTCGAGATGTGGGGCAGCTAATCACAACTCGAGAACTTGTCCGTTGAGGGTTGGAGTTCAAGTAAGGTTTGAGCATGGTCTTTGTAAACTGCAATCTTGAGCATGCAACTTATTATGTCTTCATTTTTATGTTACAGATTGAAAGCATGGGTACTTGTAGCAGGCAACAAATGGAACGGGAAGTGCGGAGGGCTGCACAAGGAATCGGTGTTTACATTGATCCCACTTCTGGAAACATGTATTCTCGGGTTAGCATCTCTTTTTTAAAACTCGATGTGGCCTGAAGATTGCCTTCTTAGGTGAAGATAATGCTAATTGTTGCCTGATATTGCAGATGAGTACTAGAGATCCACAACAAGGAGGTAGGAGGGGACCGGATGAACCAGATCATCCGCCCATGAACAGTACTCAACCTCCATCGACTCAACCCAAGACACAGTAAACAAGCAACGGTGGATATGATGAACCAAGAAAATGACATCTCCCTTCTTTTGTATTTTGAACATGTAATAGGCATGTGTTAGGGAATGTCTAGACTCGCGTATGGACATGGTTTATGCTCTTTTCAGGTTATGGAATCTACAGGCAAACGAACTACAGCTTCAATGGATTACAAGCAAACAAACTTTAACTTCAATGCATTACAATCTAAAAAAGTTTACTTTCAATACATTACAAGCTAACACGACAACTACTGCCATCAAACTTGCTCAACTTGAATCTAACTCGACAACTACTGCAGTACACACGTTTTACCCACGTAGGAGCCAACTAACAGAGTATAAAACACACAGCAAACCAATACCGATATAACAATGATTCACCCTACTCTGAAGTTTACAAACAGTATGCCCCAAATTCTCCAATTCAAGACAGCTTCGAGCACTTGTAGCAGCAAATTTTTCAAACTCTTCGGCCATATCAAACTTTTTTTCCTTCCTCTTCTCAACCTTCTCTTCAACATCACTAATACGACATTCAATTCCTTGAGTTAAAGTGACAATCTCAGCTTCCATCTCACAGATTCTCGATTTCAACAGAGCATTCTCCTCCATAAAAGATTCAAGCACACTTGAATTTGCTGATGTTCTCCGATCACACCACTTAAAATGACGACAACCTTCCTTAGCATCCTACATTAAGGAACTTGATTAAATTTAAAGAAGAATACCATTTTGGGAAAAACTGAGACATCGGAAAACATACCTGCCAATACGGACAGGAATAGAACATTCTCCCCGGATTGTCCTCTGTTCTAGACATCTGCACAATACATGGAACATTGTGCTTGCACCTCTCGATGGGTGTGGTTGTAGAACTCGAACCGGCTGAACTTCCCCCTCCCCTCCTTTTAGCAGATGACATTGTGCTTGCTTCCTCTCGATGGGTTGGCGACGAAGAGGAAGAAGATTGGAGAGGGAAGGAGACGAAGGAGGAAGGAGACGAAGAAGAAGAAGATTTGAGAGGGAAGGAGACGAAGAAGAAGGAGAAGATTTGGGTCGGATTGGCGGCGGCGGAGAAGGGGATACGAGGGGGTGGGGTATCGGGGGAAGAAGGGAGAATGGAAAGAGATGGGTAGTGTGTGGTCTCCACCTTTCCCTTTAGTTTTGTTTTGTTTTGTTTTTTTTAACTTACTGAATTAGAAATGGATATAAAAGGGGAAATAAAAATAAATGACGTGGAGAAGCCACGTCAGAGTCCAATGCTGAGTAAGCAACGGAGAACATTGTTGACCGTCAAATCTGACAGTCAACCCGTCCCACAGGCCAAATTCGTCCGATAATTTGAAAACTTGGGCCAGAAATGTCACTAACGCTATACTTCGTGCCAAACGAGGGTATTAACCCAATATACAATAATGATCCGGTCATTGATTATAAGATGCTTTTCACTAATCCATCGTCATTTTCACGAGTTAGGTTCGGTCACCTCTAACTAACTGGATAAATAAAAATAAATTACAAAACAAATAGTAAAGGAAAAACGCATCAATTTATCTCTCTTCCTCTTTCCCAACCGATTGTTGACGCGAAACAGGAGGCTTCTTTGCCCCATCCTTCTCTTTCCGTCTCTCGATACTGCATAAATCAATGGCGGAAGACCGGAGAACCTAATCTCTCTGACGAAGCGGCGGAGCAGGGAGGATTTTGATCACTCTTTTTGGCTCTAGCGAAAAGGCGGAGTGCTGACTATTGGCTGGGTGCTGGCGAACAGAGATTTTTTAGGGGGAGAGAGGGATTGAAGGAACAAATTTTTAAGCTTGGAGATGGCTGAGTCATCCAAGGAAGAGCTCTTGCAGCTGATCAAGCGGTTTGGAGCTTATTTGAGCGTTAAGATGTCGAATTTCATCCCGATCTCACTCCACAATCTGGTTCTTGCCGATTCCCTTGCTCTCTTATCGTTTACTCCTTTCCTGGGTTAGGGAATTCATTGATCTTTCTGCTGATTTATGAGAGGGCTTGTGCTTCCGCTGATTCGATACACTCCCTCTTCACTGGATGGTGGCCTCCTGCGTGGTTCCATTTTTCTTAATTAATCATTTGGGTCCCTTATGGTTTTGGTTGTTGACGACTGAAATGCACGGAAGTAATCCGTGATGCGTCACAGAATCAAGTGGGGATTTTTGCGATTGATTCCTATTCAAGCTCGTGAAAGTTGTGATTTTGGAAATCTGTTCCTCCTGTTAGAGCCAGTTTTCTGTTGGCTGGCCAAGCTTACTTCAGCAGTATTAATAATCCATTGATGAACTTGTTTGTTGGAATCATGTCTTAGTTTGTGTGGAACTACGTTCCTCAAATAAGATAACAGTTCTGGGTACAAATCTCGATTCATGGAGCTGCAAACATGCTTTACAAGTAGGGTTACAGCAGATCTGTGCCAACTAGAACCGACTCAAAACAATTAGCTTTCCCAAATAAGGTTTCGTTATGATAGTTGGTCACCCAATTCATTCGATTTTTTTAAATTTTGTCTGAAATTTTCCTGATTTGTCGGTGAGAACTAGTTCATATTCAGGGATGAAAGGAGAACCTATGGTCACTGCTCACCATGTTCCATTTATCATCAGGATGCTCGGTCTGTTGGGGCCATAGCAGGCCTTGCTCTTGCAGTGGCTTTCACTTGGAGATTGTTGAGGTCCCCTAGTGTGCCCCAGAGAAGGCAACCAAAAAGACATACTCCTACAACTAGCACTTCTTCTGCGGGGACACAATCAAATGTAGCATCAATGCCTTCTGGAGCTGGTTCGTCTTCAGAGGATTTGAGAGCCCAGAATGTTGTTGATGAGTTCTTCCATCCTGTAAAAGTGAGCACAATATTCTTTTAGTCTGACAGCTTTAGCTTTTTTGTTTAAAAAAAAAAATATTTTGGTGAACCTCATATGCTCTTATTGTTCTTTCCTTTATTTCAGCCAACTTTGGGGCAAGTAGTGAGGCAAAAGTTGAGTGAAGGCCGAAAGGTAATCATCCTGACATTATTTAAGTTGAAGCTGGATAACTCATTGCCTGTTGGAGTGCAGAGTGGAGTATTGCACATTTTCCCCTTTTCTTTTCCTTTGGGAAGTAGGAGAGTTAGCTGTTTCTTTTCCCTGTTAACATCACTCGATATTGTGGTGAACTTTGCTCGACGAGGTCCAATATATATTAACTTGGGCGATCTTCCTTAGACTTTCAGAGGTCTTTAGCATTAAGTTCTGCTGGTTGCTGAATTGTTAAGGCTGTTGTTTATCAGCCTTATAATTAACTTATTGTTTAATCAAGAATGTCATGCCCTAAAGATATAATGCTTCATTGTCCTCCTTTGTAGGTCACTTGTCGTTTGCTTGGAGTAATCCTTGAAGAAAATACACCGGAAGAGCTCCAGGTAGTCAGATCCTTACTTATGTATAGTTTCTACTTCTATTTTGTCACATAGTAGTGGCTCAAAGTACTAACTTTGTCAATTTTCTTATAAACAGAAACAAGCAACAGTCAGATCCTCTGCTCTAGAAGTTTTGTTGGAGATCCCCAAGTTTTGTGATCTTTATCTCATGGAAAGAGTTCTTGATGATGAAAGTGAAGTATGTTCAAATTCCAATGCTGAACATTTTGTTACTTGCGTGGCTTGTGTCATTATTTTGTCTATTCCTTCTTGTGAAAATGCCGTGTGGGACATTATATGAGTTACTACTTGCTGATCCCTATACAGCTAGTTGATTATATTTTGGTTTTCTACTTTACCTCCTACGTTTTTGGCCCTATTCGAGAATAATTTCCCTTGTTCTCTTTTTGGCTACAGCAAAAAGTACTTGCTGCTTTAGAGAATGCGGGAGTTTTCACCTCTGGGGGTTTGGTCAAAGACAAGGTAATTAATAGCTTTTTAATTGACAGGAAATATATGTATTCTCATTGAAGGATCTTTATATGACTTTACCTGTCCATATAATTTTTACTCGAATCACTTTCGTAACTCCTGCCTAAGAAAGTTTGGGAAAGCATTAAATAAACACTATTGGCTGCCCTAGAAAAAGTCATGAACTGGTGTTTAACTGACTCCTGTTGGCTGCCCTAACTCATAGCAAATTACCCAGAGTCTCCTACAATTGCAAACGAATGAGTATTCCATAAGTCTTCCAAGTTTGCCCTAGAAAAAGTCATGAACTGGTGTTTAACTGACTCCTGTTGGCTGCCCTAACTCATAGCTAATTAATGCAATTGGAATCCACTGGCTTTTGAGGTATCAGTGACCAGCTCTGGCAACCATTGATGGTTGAAAGTTACAACCCATAGATAGCTTTAGGTGAATTGCTAGCAGTAAGTAGCACTAATGTCATTTGGTTTGACAAAGGAAAGCCCTTTTGTCCTACCTTGCTGCTATGTTGTAGCATCTCTTAGTTATTTAACCTGTTGCCTTATTGTACTGCTGTGTTTGAGGGTGTTCCAAGCTTGAGCTTGTTTATGAGTAAGCCAAGCAGTTGATTTAGTCATAGTAAACCATAAGCAGTGCTACATTATAAGGCTTCAATTAGGATTGGTTCGCTGTTCCTGTTCATCCATTTTGCTTTAGTTCTGCTCAATCTTCATTCTATTAAATTGTTCACCATCCCTCTCGCAGGTTCTCTTTTGCAGCACAGAAACTGGACGCACATCTTTTGTTCGCCAACTAGAACCAGACTGGCATATTGACAGCAGTGCTGAAATTGTTACCCAATTAGCTGTAAATCTCCTGCAACTCCCACTTTCATATTTGGACCGAGGAATTTGATTGTCAATCCTGACTAAGCATGTTTTCTATTGCTCACAATCTGTGTTCCTTTTTTCCACCTCTGATTTGCAGAGGTTTATCAAGTATCAACTCCATGTCTCTCCAACAAAGCTTGAACGATCACCTGGAAATGTCTTCAGCTCTTCATCACTGGAACAGTTCTTCGGATTAGTATGATGCATCAATTGGTGCAATATTTAGGCACATTTGCGTTCAGATTTTTTGTGATCGAAGTAAAGAAGAAAAAAAATAGTAAAGGTTGCTTATGTATTGCTCCATTGTACTGGGTTGAAGCTTGTACGAGTTTGATGTTTGTGGGTTAGTGTCGGGCAAGATCTGAACTTCCATTAGTTGGAAAATTTTCACATTTGTTAAACCTGTTGTGTCTCTGTGACTGTAACCACATGCAAGGATATGAAATTGTTCATGAAAGTTTCGGATGTTGTCTAGTGGCTGTGGGTCTTGCTGTGTTTAAGGTTGTGTGTTTACATTACCTGAGTCTGTCGATGGTTCAGTGAGATTGTTTCAATATGCATTTTCATCAGAGCTTTATTATGCAACAGAAAGAAGTAGCAATAGCAGGAGGATACATAAGGAAATAGTTTCCATATATTTTCATCGAAGCTTTTTATAGGAAGACAGAAACAGGTAACAAAAGCAGGCGAAACCAACGTGGAGGATATCTGTTCATCGTCATCAAGGTATGATCTTCATCTCCCTCATCCTCCCAACCCAGTAAGGAATGCTCTCTAGCGTGTTGCAGTAACCCAGAAACCCGAACTTACGGCTCTTGTTCATGCTACAAACATGCTGGAACTTGAAGTTGGTGACTACTGTCACTGCATCAAAGCAAGTGATGTCTGCCATCTTCGTCCTGACCAACCCATGTTTCTCAACAATCTCGTCCCACACATGTTCCATCCCCGCCATCATCCCAACAACATCGAACCCACATTCTTCCTCCTCGTCGAACTCCACATCAAACACTTGACAGAAGGCCTTCCAGAACTTCTTCCACGTGAAGAAATCGCCGTTGGTGCAGTTAAATGCTTGATTCTTGGCACTCTCCGTGGTTGCTGCCCAAATCTGCTGCTCTGCCAACAGCCTGGAATCAGACATATCGCAGAAGTGTTCCCACGTGTACCTGCTCCCCGGGTACCTGAACGGTAACCCTCTGTACCGGCAAATCGTGGCGTAAACCCCCAGGGAGACCATCGTGTTGAAGAGGCTTCTCGGCGTTGCACCCGCTATGATGGACGAGCGGTGCACTGAATATGTAACCTCTGGCGGCAACGCTGACGCCAAGACATCTTCCTGGGCGTAGTAGAAGTTGGGGTATGGCAACCTTGGCATACACTCCTCAAACGGCGCCTCGTGCATCACAATCTTGGATCCATGTACAGGGTCATAGACCGGACCCATGTAGTGTTTCGTCCCTAGATGATGGAGAAATTCAAGTGTCAAAATACAGAACAATTTGCTTCAAAAAATCGGTCAACACAGTCCTTACCTGTTTGTAAGGTAAAGTGCTTGAGGCTACACCTTTCCCCTGAAGATTTGATTGCGTCGATAACGTTCGACAGCATGGAGGAGTTCACAGAGACGTTCACCTCCTCGCTTTCGTGGATCTGTAACGCAACCCAGAACACATGGGTGACTTCATGAGCTATCGGTGAGAGCTTCAGTAACGTGTCCTGACGATCCAAGGCGTCTGCTGAGATGAAGCTGTGGAGGAGTGAAGCTGGGAACCAGTTTGGCAATGGACGACGAGCCACCCCGTAGACTTTCCAGGGGCTGCCTGGTGTTGATGGGTTGTTCAGAGCTTCCGCAAGGCTCAGCCCAACCATCCCCGTTGCACCCACGATGAGGGCAACGGCCGGTGATGATGATGAAGATGGTTCCTTCTCCATCAATGAAAAGGAAGGTTTTGGTTAGCAGAGCTAGCTAAGTGCTCTAATCTATGATTGCCCGATTGGGATTTATTTAAACTGCAAGGATCTGAGGCACTGTTTGTTGTCCACTAGATACAAAACACCTAATGAGAAACTATTAGTAGATTATTTGGTGGTCTAACTGCCATAATCGGTATTCTGGGTTCCACTAGAGTAGCCTTTGAATATTAAATGGTGACAAACCATGTGGCCAACATAGTTAGCTTTGAAACTTGTGTAAATGTTCACGAATAATTGGAATTTGGAGTGAATTGTATTAAACAAATGGGTGAATGGTAAGTTTGGTCACTTTGTCAATTGAAAATGTTGCTTTTCTTATTGGTCACTGATTTTAGCCTCTTACTTTATCGTTGGTCACTAGTCATCCAATTCCATTAAAATCGTCATAGGTGGTAGTTAACGGTTATGTTTGACCGTTAAATAGGTGACTTGATAATGAAAACAAAATCATTTAACTAAATTTCCATATCATATTTCCACCGCCACAATTTCTCCTTTTACCTTTTATTTCATCATAGTAACACAAGAGAATAGCTGAACATTGACATATATTTTTTAATTTGGGTACATTGCAAGAGTGGTCACTGACATCACTAAAAACGTTCACGTTTGGTCACTAAAAATATTTAATTCCACTCATGGTTACTAAAATTAGTTAAATGTATCAAGTTTGGTCACTCTCCGTCCATGTCCGTTAACTTTTGCTTACATGGTAGTCAACTCTCATAATTGACCATTAAATAAGTGACGTGGCAATTTAAAAATTAATAAAAAGTAAATTTAATATTTTCAAATTTCTACCTAATTGTTACAACCATTAAATAATTAAAAATTTAAAAATAATTTTTTAATCCTCGCCACCATTGGAAGCACCCCGCCGCCGTTGGGAGCCGGTTGAGGGAAGGAACCAGAGACTGGCGAGACCATCACATTCTTCGGGGAGATTCCGTCCAACTTTTCAGTCGATTTCGAACGAGAATTGGTGAATCTGTCGTTTAATGACTTCCCCGGAGAGGAGCTAGCGAGTTTTAGTGAATGGACTCAAATCGATTAAATGACACTCTTCCGTTAGCGATTGCCAACTGCTCGTCGCTTATGCAGCTGAGCATGGAGGATAACAAGTTAAGAGTTTCGATCCCGTCGTCTATTATCTGCAATGCCGGAGTAGCCGAAGGTAATTTTCGGCGGAAGTGCTTCGTATTGTGGACTTAGGGTTTAACATCGTCGACATTTTTTATAAACTCCCAGCGAGATCTCTCTACGGGCTCTTGTCCCGTAAGTATTGTATAAAAAAATCCAATCGTCGATTTTATCGCCGTCCACACCCGCGATTCTTGCTGTAATCGTGCCAATCTTCTCCTCCTCGGCGAATCCCACTTTGGCCAAGTGGCTTCCTTCTTATCGCCGGTGATACATAACAACAGGCGCGGAGAAACGTCAATCAAACAACTTCCTTCTTCCATCGATGGGGAGAGTCCTTGTTGGGTACAATTCTGGTGGCGGCTGGACGAAGGGGATATTAGTAACGGATTAAACATACATGTGCGTTGATGATTGGTGTGGAAGGGCCGCACTGATGGAAGGGTGGATTTTATTATGTAAATATTAATATGGAAGACCACTACATTAGATGCACTATTGGGTGTTACATGTAACCACTCAACCTATTCAAATTCCACATTTATTCTCACATTAACGTATATTGATTGTAAGAATGTAGGGGTTATTTGATGTGTGCCTATAAATAGAAGATCTTCTTGTATTAAGAAATACATGAATAAGAAAGCTCTATTCCTCCACTCTTAATTTTGTGTTTATTGCTCTTCCTTGCTATTTTATATTACGTTATCAGCACTAAACTCTACCAAAGTCATGGTTCGTCATTGTCTCTCTACATAATCAAATATACTTGAGTAAGATCACAACACGATCAAGATATGCAAATTTTTATGCCGTTTCTTGTTAGTATGTTTATCTATCTCATTGTCTTTGAGAAATTATTTGATTGTGCTATTTTGTTCATATTATTTTATGAACTTATTTTATATATGTTGATATCATAACATAGAGTTTGTGCTTCGACATTATCAAAAAATAAAAATTGCTCCTGTAGTAGCAAAATTATTATGGGTTGACTTATCGATTGCTACATTGGACATATAGAGAAATGAAAGTCTAAAAATCTCATTTTCTCCCGAAGTGGAAAAATGAAGAAAAGTGTAAAAATGCAAGAAGTGAATCGAGTAACAAAAATGTCAGAATATGAGTTACCATTGTGGTGGGGGAAAAAAATTATTGGTCTTTTACCCTATGTATGAAAATAAGTTTTATTGGTCCAAGAGTCATTGGAAGAAAAATGAAAATCTATATGTGCTCATGTAGTAGCAATATTATCGTAGAGGTTTTATAAAGTGTAAGTTAATTTCTTGTTTGTTAAAGGTGTAAAGTGTATTAGACTTGTGATGAGAAATATTATATAATTTGATCCAAAGCGTGTTGTTTCATTCCCAGAAGCGAATCAAATAAACCATTCTTAAAAGTGAATGCAATGAGACACACCATTATATAAATATAATTTGTTGTTTGAATAACGACAATCATCAAATGTATATTTTCACCGTAAGTGAAAGATAAAATGATCATAAATGAGGATGACACAACAATTCATGTAGCAAAAGTCATGATCATATACCATAACCTTCATATGTCAGAATGTGTTATGAAACACATATATGTTATTATTATTATTATGTCTGCTTTCATATAGAATGAATGTTCACGAAAGTCAATACTGGTATTATATATCATATAGTATGAAAGTAAGAAAAAGCTCTAGAAGAGATTGTGTTTTGTTACTTGAAGTAACTAAACAATATATTGGTGATAAAATAGTGTGAGTATTCTAATCACTATGGATATGTGCTCACAATGGTTCACCGAATCAGATAAAATAGTGTGACTATTTTGAATATCATAATTGATATTGCATCAGCTTTGTGTTCTAAGAGAACATATAATTAACTGGAGAAATTTGTACTACATGTATATTAGTACATATGAAAGTGTAAACTACAAGTTTACAAGATCGGATAACTTTTTGTTTTGGCATGTTCGGTTATACCATCCCGGATACAAATGCGGAAAAAATGATTGAGATATCATATGGAAATTAAGTGAGAGTTTAGAGAATTCATCAATCAAAGGATTGATTATGTGATACATGCTCTCGAGGAGAATATACTCGCTTGTGAAAATAATTGAATATGTTGAGATTTATAAAAGTGTATGCAGAAAAATACACTCACCATGCAAATCATATATGAATTTTATGATTTTGATTGATGCATAAACTATATCGTCATATATGTATGTTATCTAACCGCAACCTGATGTTTGTGAGATTCGTTGTCGAATGATGGATATATTTTGATGATTATCCAATCAAACATAAATTCTCTTATGAGAGCAAGCTAAGCCTATCGATATCTTGTCGAGGCATGCTAGTTAGCATATGATATCATTAATTCGCATGAAGCCAACAAGTTATCATAAGTTCCCCCCTTTTCATACAAATGATTTTGGTTAGGTACCAAACATTTCAAATGCTAGAAATTTTGGGTGTGCAGAATACATCCCAATTGCTCCAACACAACAAGTTATGAGTTCCATGAGAACTTATGTTGGACATGGTGTCCATTGCAATGAGAGATTTGTTCATGACTCTTTTTGCTAATATCAACATTTTTGTTGAATTAATTTTCGAACATAAAGGGGGAGAAAAGTAAACAGTTGGGCATAGATGTGAGTTGAAATCATCATTATCTCATTTTGATCCTCAAACAAAGAACCATGAACCCGAAGTTCAGATGGTGATTCACGGATGGAAAAAAAGTATTGATTGCCAAACACCTTTTACTCACTAAGAAGAGAGATTATGTCACATGCCCAATTGTGAATGCTCCAAGACAAAATGATGTCCATATTGGACAATTTAATGAGTCTAAACGAGCGCATAAAGCGTGGTAGACCAATCAGTTCCAAGGATAAAAATCCTGGAGAAAGAAAAGAGCTATAAATTAAGATGGTCAACTCGAGGATAAAATAGCTCTAGAAGAGTCAAGTCATATATTGAGATCATAGCTCCAGAAGAACAGTAGGTACCTGAAAGTTTTAAAATGAAGAGATCTCAATTAATTGACTTGTATGAAAAAGGTTGGAACCGAAGTGTATTTATTGTCGACAAGGGTTTTGACTATGCTACAACGCTGAACATGATAGATACAAAGAGGATCAAAAGTAAAAGTCTATTGATGCATACAAAGGAATATATATTGGCCAATATAAAAGAAAGCATTAGGATATTTGGTATAACTTTTGTACCAGAAGTCCTTACACCTAAAGATGTAAAACTAACGGGATACAAATGGGTTTGTGCAAACGCGTATAAAAATTGTGAGAGATATAACACAATTTCTCGTGAGAGGTTTCTCATATAAACCTGACATCAATTATGAAGAGACATACTCTCTTGTGGTGGATGCAACTATGTTGTGCAATTTAAATAGTTTGACAGTTAAAAGTATGAAATTTTGCATTAGGTAGATATTGTGATAGCCTATTTGTATGGATCCCTTGATAATGATATTTATACGAAACTCCCTGAAGAATTAGTTTGCCGGAAGCAAACATGTTACATCCTCGAGAACATATATCGATCAAATGAACCAATCCATAGTACGTATTATAGTTATTTGGAAGAAAAGAGTCAAGAAATTATTTTATAATGATCTCATATCTTTTAGTTGATATGAACTCCAGAAGAGCTTCATAAAGCATGGTTTGCTTAAAGAAAGAAAATTGAACTCCAGAAGAGTTTCATACAACATGGATTGCTTAGAGAAAGAAATTGAACATGAAGGACGTAAGAAGATCCTTTTATGGATCAGTACGACAATGTCGGAAAGGTGAAAGAACAATTTTGTATGGAAAAAATTTCATATGTTCAAGAGCCTAATGACCATAAGGTCACTAGAAGTGAACAAAGATCAATTTAGGCCTTGAGATAGAAGTGAATTATTAGGTCTTGAAGTACCGTAATCCAATGTCGTTAGAGCGAAAATGTATATTGCTATACTTCATTGAGTTATACTTTATTACCTATTGGTAACGATGAGGATCATAGATGAGTAATTTGTTTACTTATGGTCGTACAAGTATCTCATGGAGATTACAAAGAAATCACAATAGCAACATCATCCGATCATGCACAATGATCAACAATTCATGAGACTTGTTATGAATTGTTTGGTTAAGATTTGTGATTCAACACGTCTAAATAACTTGTGGTTGTGGATTATCTTCATGGAAAATGATCCTGAAGATCATGTATGAAGAAAATGGTCCTAATGGATCATGCATAAAGTGACAATCTAGAGGATTTGTTCACTAAAAAGCTTACCATGACAATATTTGAAAGATTTGTTCACAACACTATACTTTGATGTTGTCATGAGGGGGAGCATGTACACACTGCACTCTTTTTTCCTTAACCATGGTTTTTTCCACTAGGTTTTCCTTGTAAGGTTTTTAACGAGGCAGATTCAGATAGCGTATTATGATGATTATGCACTCTTTTTCTTTCACTAGGATTTTTTCCCACAGAGTTTTCCTAGTAAGGTTTTAACGAGGCATTTTCATGCTAATGGTCATCCAAGGGGTAGTATAATGTAAATAAAAAAATGGATGACCACTATATCAGATGCACTATTGGGTACATGTAACCACTCAACCCATTCAAATTCCACATTTATTCTCACATTAATGTATATTGATTGTAAGAATGTAGGTGTTATGTGATGTGTGCCTATAAATAGAAGATCTTTTTGTACTAAGAAATACATGAATAAGAAAGCTCTATTCCCCCACTCTTCTTGTGTCTCTACTCTTACTCTTGTGTCTATTGCTCTTCCTTGCTATTTTATAACAGATTTCCTTTTTTTTTGTGAGAAGGGTTAATTTTAATTTTGGTAATTTTTATTCATTTTAATGTATTTTTATAAATGAGGTGAAATTTTTGATGAATTTATTTTATTTTTTAAATTATTTTTTTATTGCCACGTCTCACATTTAACGGTAGACTATGAGAGTTGACTGCCACGTAAGCAAAAGTTAACAGAAATGGACGGAGAGTGACCAAACTTAAAACATTTAACTAATTTTAGTGAGCACGAATGAAATTAAATATTTTTAGTGACCAATTGTGAACGTTTTTAGTAATCTCAGTGACCAATCTTGCAATATACCCCTTTTTAATTTGTTACATTTTCAATGTGAATGAGTAAAATGAATTTAGCTCTTTATTTGAAGAAATGAGTACAAATCATTGTTGTATAATTGTTTTTTAACAGTTGCATTCATAGCTCTAGTATAAGTTTATTATGCATATTTGAGATGATAGTGGACAAATAACCAATAATATTATGTCTAACCATATTTATTGAACAAGATCCACTTAAGATTTCCGTTATTAAGAGCCTCTCTCTACTTTTGAAATGCTCTAACTTCTCTTTTCCCTCCACCTTCGTTGGCCATTGAGGGGGACCGTCGGTTCACCTTGTGGTGACTGACGACAACCATTTTTCTACCTTCTATCCAATTTTCGAATCTTGCTTGGTTTTTTTTTTCTACTGCTATTGCTCTTGCTAATCCCTCTGTGGGTTTCTCCTCAAATCTCTCTTTTCGAGATGATTTTCTCCACTCTATATTCTGATTCCATATCTGGAGACCCTTTTGTCTTGGTGTCAAAGGAGTTGTTGTCTTATGACTCTAGTTGTTCTTCATCTTTCCATTCATCCAGCCTACATCTTTGTTTCTCACAATGTCTTCGTGAGATCCGGAGATGTTGCAACCGCTCATGTTTCGGTTCGGACCCAACGTGGTTTCTTGAAGACGAAAAAGCCTTGTTCGCGACTGTTCTGCATGTCGCTTCCTCTTCAGTTCTTTTCCCGAGCGGTGGTCAAGGATCTGCTGGTGGGGCATGTCCACTGAGATGGGATTGTTTCTCTTTCTTTCATGGTTTGATTCATTAAGCAACAATAATTCTCTTGATCTTTGCCTCGTGGGTGGATTTGTTGCCGTGTTTGTGGGTGCATCTATTGTCTCAGTCAGTTTGGCAAATGCTGATCTAACATGCAGGTGTTGATTATTGAGGTTATTGTTCTTTCCCGATGTTTCTCGATGACGAAGACTATACACTCAAGGTGGTAATGCGACTAGGGTTGGGGATTATCTTACGTTGGGCCATCTGTATTTTTGTGGGCAAAATTTTGATGATAATAGATTTTGCTAGAGCTTTGAAGATCCAGCTGATTTGATGTCTTTTTCTTTCGCTACTCTACGACGGCAAGGGATGCGGAGATTTGAGATATACTTCTCTTCCTCATGGCTATCATTTCCTGGTCTCCTCGTCTCTCTGCTTCTTTTGGGATGCCGTGAAGGTTTTCCGATATGGAAAAATGAAAAGATGGTGATGATTTTCTGCATTGGGGAGTGGATTTGTGATTTGGGTGGTGAAAAGGAAATAGATAGATATAGAGTTAGAGTTCAAGTACACCAGGTGGATTTGATGGACGATATGGATGGATTTGGGGTTTTTGGTTTTCTGGGTTAGAAAAATGGGAAAGAGAGAATGATGAGAGAGGCAGGGAAGGGCCAAGATGATGCAAATGCCGGCAGCCGGGTGGGAGGTGAGGTGGGAGAGTTGGGTTTCGAGGTCGGAGGAAGAGGAGTTCCGTGAGAGCAGAGGGAGCGAGCGATAACTTGGCCATTGTATTGGTGGCGGCGATTCTGGTCAGAGGTGTTGATGACGGGAGATGATTGTGAGTAGAGGGACGCAGTATCAGAGGATAGGGAAGAGATGTGCGACGACGATGGTGAATTTGAGGTTAGTGTCGGACGAGTGTTCCGCCATGGGTTATCGGTTTAGGAAATGGGTTGAGTTAGGGTTTTAATGACATGGCGGGTTGTGATGATGTGGCGAGCTGTTTATAGAAATTTTTGGGTAAATTCTACTGATTAGACGATTCTGTTGCCATGTCATGACTTAACGGACTTTATTAACGAAGTTGGATGGAAACTAACGGAGAGTGACCAAACATGACATGTTTTACTAAATTTATTGACCATTATTGATATTAATTTTCCAGTGTCTAAACATGACATGTTTTAATAAACCCAGTGATCAAACTTGGTATTTTCCCCAAACTGAAGTGTTAAAAAAAAGATTAATGGTTCAGTGAGTGCAATTATAGACAACTTTGTTTTCTAAGTTACTGCAAAGCTTTAATCACATTAACCACTGGAGCTATTGAAGTTGGCAGGTAAGAATTCAGGTCGGAGTAGCGTCGTGAGCACTTGAGATTGCGATGAATTCTATATAGAACGGAGATGCAAATATTGCAATCGAAATTGGTGAATCGCTCCAAAGTTGAACTCGAGTTGCATTTGCCGGCAACTTATCAAAAAATCTGGTTGTTCACACCTTCAAAGAGCTTCATTAAATGACTATATGAGATGTTGGTACAAAGAATAATTTGTCAATACTAACTCTCGCCAAAAAATTAAACGAACTCAAATTTCACCTAGCTCTCCCACTTATATTTATACGTTGAACTATATCTCATTGAACTATCCAGTTGTCACATGTACTGAAATCCTTTACGTTCATTTGTATGAACTCATGTGACAATTAAGAACAATATAGTCACCACCATGTTTACATGATATCACAATTAGTTAAATGTGTCTAACCAATTTCATGTATCAAATTAGCAAATACTTTGACCAACCGTGCAATATCCAAGTTTTGATGGAAAGTTCATTAAGAATCATCCACAATCAACAACCATGTAACTTTGAAAGATACATATATAAGTTCACAATAAAAATAGGGCTAATACCACTACAACACCCGAACTATGACAAAACTGCTACTTGTATCCTGTTCTTACCAATATTCCATTTGTGTCCTGAACTATAATTCTGTTAGTGTTGACTGTTAGTTTTAACTGAAAATCCAGTCAGCATCGACATGACATCTGACATGGAATTTTCAATTTTTTTTATTTTAAAAATATAGAAAATTATAAAAAAGAAAAATTGCTTCATTTTTTCATCTCCTTCTCCGATCAATTGTTCCCTGGCAGATTCAGTGGGAGAGGCCGTCATTATTCCTCGGCTAAAATTGACTCCCTACAATCTTCCATCGAGCGGGGGATGGAAGAAGCGCCAGAGAAGGATTCACCGGGCCACAATTTCTTGTTCCTCCTTTCGATTTCTTTTCAATTTAGGGGTTAACTCTGGTTTCGATTTGGTTTCAATTTAGGGGTTAAGTTGTAGGCGGCGGCGTGGCCACCGTTGGATATGATGCAGGTGGGGCGGTGCCCTGGGGGACGAGAAAAATGCTCTTCCCTGCCCGTCGATGAAACCAGAAAGCACAGGTTGCTGACTTGCGGTTTGTTATGCTGAGAATCGAGCCAGAAATAGATAGATGGGGCAGGAGCAAATCATCATGAGGGAACCGAGAGGAAGTTATTGGGGCTAATTTATTCTCCAGTGTTCGTCGCCATTGAAGAGGGTGAGCTCGTCGAATCGATGGTTTTAGGGTTGAGAAAAAGTTTGACAGATAGAGAGGCGAATAGTGAGAGGTTATATGGGTTTTGCAAGCAATGGCGGCGCGATAAGGGCTAGAGAAGCGCAGGTCGGGATGATGGGAGAGGCACGAAAAATGGAGCTTGCTTAGAGGAAGAAGAAGATGGAGCTGGTTCGGAGGAAGAAGAAGATGAAGCAGCTCCGTCGGAGGAGAAGAGGAGCGACGACGTTCCGAAATCGATTTTGGGATTTTTTTTATAAATATTAATTAATTTTGATTTAAAATATGATGTGTCAATGACGTGTCATCTATGTGGCCGCCTCATTTTTACCACATCAGCAAAAGTCAATAACAATTTGACTTCCGTCTGATCAACCGTTGTCTCTAACGGTCAACGAAATCGTCAGGATACAAATGACACAAAAATATCATACAATAGGACACAAATAGAATATTGGAAGAATATGATACAAGTGTCATTTTTGTCATAGTTCGGGTGTTGTAGTGGTATTAACCCATAAAAATATCATGAATATGTATAAAAATATCATTTACAGTGGATCTGATTACTTAATATTAGAGAATAGTGGTGATGGAATTGGTTCCTTCTCCTTCAAAGAAAGGGTTGCGCCAATCCTCCATTAATATACGGTAGAATTTTGTGTACTTTTCTCCATTTCAAATTTCCTGCAACGAGAGTGAAAGTAGGAAGGTCATTTTTGTCTTTACACATTTATTATTTATTTCATATAAAAATAGCAATATCAAGATTTGAACCCGGGTCTCTTCAAACAATGATAACAAGCACAACCAGTTACACTAAACAAATTTATTGCATCCTTTTCTATACAAAAAATAGACAAAGTTAATCTCTAAAACCAGATGACTTTTCATCATAATTAGCAAGCTCACTAAGTCTACCGTATGTATTTTTATCGAGCTTGATACTTCTATTTTCATAGTAGAGTTTCATGTAATTTTCTCAATTTTAAATTCCCGCTCTCTCCTTAATTTTTGCTAAAGGTAAATGGGTAATTGGCCAACATGGAAGAAACTAATTATGTAACTACTGTTGTATCCTCGCATTTTTCAATTTAAATTTAAATTTTGTGTTTTTTTTATCTTTGTTCTTTTCTCTTTCTAACTTCCTCCGAAATTTCATCCATCGTGCAATAGTTTGCGCCTTTCACTTCCCAGTACAAGACCGTTATTGAAAATCAATCTTCAGGTATCTCTTGGCACTACGGTTTTATTGTTGGGGATTTTAAGCTGGGCGAGTAGAAGATTTCAACTCCGATATCAATTCATGGCGAATAGAATGGAGTTCACTCAATAACTGAAGTTGTAGAAGAAAGATTAGAAATTGAATTTTTGGTTGAATATATGCCTCTTGAGATAGAAATTTGGTTGTACAACGGAGAGTGGTGGCTATTGGATCTTTAGGTTTATGGTTTTTGCAACTGTCATAACCTATTTCTATCTTAAAACGAGGAATCATTGATTGATTGTTTGAATTCTTTATTCAACCTACTGGAACTAATAGATAAGGAGTGCTAATTTTGCGCCTTATTACTTTGATCGAGTCTATTCGTATATTGGAGATAACCCTGATTTTTTCGTTTGCTCTCAAGTTGTGATGGTCCCCTCTTAGCTGAGGTTTTAGTATATAGATGACTTGAATCAACAACTCTCTATTTCTTTTTGATTAGTGACGTATTGTTTCTAAAAGGAGAGCATTGAACCCTTTATATAGGATTGTGAGGTTTAAGATTTAGTTTCAAATTATCTATGGGTTGTGTGAGAATTCCAGTGATCTTTTATACTTTATATTTCTTGATTGTCAAAGAAAACTAACCAATAGCATTTTAACAGGGACTTAATTAGCATTATGAAAATGGGCTCAATGATACATTTTTATATTTTATATTCTTAAATGATTATGATATTTCTCCGAATGTTCGACCTATATATTATTTCTTTATGTATCATCTCGATCGAATAATTATCACTAAAATTAAATGGGTTAATAGACTTAAAAGTAACATAAAAATACAAATAATGAAATATGAGCATTCCGGCCAAAGGGCCGGGTTATAAGCTAGTATTTTATAATAATAATATGTTGACTAACATCGTGACTGCGTGAGTAGTTAAGTTTGAAATTTGTGTAGACGTTTATGACAATTAAAGAGGTAATTATTGGCTCCTTTGAATTCCGAGTTTGAATAATATGCTTTGCTGACCAAAGGGAGGAGAATTATAAAATTTTACTGGACATTATATTGAAAAATTTAACAATAGAGTATTTTATGTCAAATCATAGTTTAACGGTTTCATACTATTTAAAATTGTCTACCGATTTAGATTCAGGTAGGAGGTTTTCTTGACTTGACCGTCGGTACAGTACAGTTTTACAAACATGAGTTATTCTACAAAACCCTACAACACTCAAACCTGGAATCATTATCAAAATATCATGTAATGACTTAAAATTCATTAAGATACAATGAGGGACATCCCGGTAATTTACACACTTTTTTTTTATAGTAATAAGTAACATGGAATTTAGGGGAGAGAGCAAAGACTTTTGACCATTCAAATGTTACATTTTTCAACCTCTCATTTTTTATTAATGGGGTTCATATATCCTTGGTTTGACCTCGGAATGAAAAAATTGCACGGAAAAGACATATTAATTATGATATACATAATGATATCCATTTACTATGTTTTAAGCAAAACAGAAATTTTCTTTTTAAAACTTATGACATTTCTCATTTACTATAACTTGAGTTAAAAAAAATTATAGGTAAAGAACTCATTTATTATTTTCTATATAATGGTGTTCATTTTATTACGTTTTTTTTTTTCAATAGTTCATTTTATTATGTTTTGAGCAAAAGAAAAATGATCATTTCAAAAACACATATTTATTATCATATTTTTTTGTCATATTACGATCTTTACCCTATAGTATAGCAAACAACATTATCATACTACTATCATATCTGACAAACCTGTTGCTCTTTTGATTTTTACGAGTCAGCAAGCCTTCCTTTCTTGACTCTCGTGTTGTCTTTGCAGGTAATGTGCCATATCTTTTGGAGTTGGAGGCTCATTTCTGGGGATAAAAAGAGGTGTTGGACTCTGGGTGATGGTTCACATTTGAGAGTAGGGTTTGTGTGGGCTTTTAATATTTTGGGCTAATTTTGCTCGGCTGATATCCTTTTCTTATTGCAGTTGTTTTCAGTCCATTATTCCTTAATTTTTCCTATCTTTTTTGTGTTGCCTTTCCATGAGTATGTGTATGCTCAGAAATTTTTAGCCTTAATTCATTTGCTTAGCCAAACTTTCGCGCTTTTGACAATAATAGTATTTTTTTGAAAAATACACAGTTGTAGTAAAAAAAGTGTGTACAAGAAATAAAAGAAAACTATATCACGTCACATGGCAGCCACATCACTTTTTAACAAAAATAAAAGAAAAGTTTTGAATTCAAATAAAAAATGGAAATGAATCCATAACCCAATCCCCCAACAACTACTGCCAACCTCCCCATAGGTGGAGCCAGCCCTCCCGACATTGTCACGAGACAGGAGCAAATTTTGGAAGAAAAAAAACCCCTATACATATGAGGATATAACATAAGATCTATAATTCATACCATCTATAAACGATACGAGAGTATTTTGTCACTACACCACAGTTTATTACATTAACCTCTATAAGTGGTAAAATAGTACTTTATCACTACA